CCTCCACTTCTCCGTAGGGAATGTTTTTACAATTTTTTCTCTTAGTGTATCTGTGTCAGCTGGTGCAGATGGAGAATAAGGTTATTAAATTTTACTTTGAAAATGGTCCAAGGTGACATTAGGTGCTTAAAATGTCAGATTGGGTGACATTTGCTTAAGATTTTGCTTTTTGTCTTCAAAAATGGTTACAAGAACGGGGTTAATTTAAAGCATCTCAGCAACACTTCAAATTGTAGCATCCCAGCTTGTGATCCTCATGTGGAGTCATTTTGTGAGGTTGAAATAGTCACGACCYGCATTTTGTGTGAGAACTCGAGCTGTAACTTCACAGCTTGTTGGTCACTTGGGTGTTGGTTCAGGTTGGTGGGCAAACTCATTCTGAGTGTGGGCGAAGAATGCTAGATGGATGGGAGTGACACAAATCACGAATTTGTGTGATGATACCCTCAGTGAAATAGCTGGACTTACATTTTTAAATGTACACTTTATTGTGAAACTGTTACAAGAGTWCTTGGAATGATTTTTTTGTCACACTTTACGCCTTACCAAATAATGCTTTTTTGGGCAGACTGTAGGTTGGAGTTCCCAATCTAACAGACARTTCTTCTGCTTGTCTTTTTCCAATCTTCCCCTCTTCGCTGGAGTTCCCAGAAAGGAATTGATTTTTAGGATGAAGAACTGCAGGCTGAAGCAAGATAAATGGTTCTTGCCTCCATCTTGTTTTCCTGAAATACTCAAGCACTCGGTGTGATGTGTCTACACCTGGTCACAGACTGGTGGAGTGTCTGTGAAATGCCACCCCCAATCATGTCTTAGTCATTGCTGCCTTTTCTGATCTGGGAGCAAAAGCCTCACCTCTAGTGATTGCCTGGAATGTTGGCCAAGCTTGTGATGCCCTCAAAAGCAGCCAGGTTACTTAAAAATCTTGGTGCTGCTGAGTGAGGAGAGAAGGGAACAGAGCCTTTACATTTTTTACCTTTGTGTTTCTTTGGGAAATAATAYGTTTTGTTTATTTATCTTTTATAAGGACATAAATATTACAGGCACATGATATAAGAGACTGTTAACTGGTATCCTTCCATAATCCCATAAAGCACACATGTTCATGTTTTCTCACTGGTACAAAACACAAGTCCTGTTGTCTCAGAACTCCGTGATTTTGCCACCCTCACTGCTATGTCAGATTCAGTCTATAGCTCTTCTAAAATTTAATGCCTAAGAACAGGAAGCTAAGGAGAGGTTTTGAAGGTGGCTTGAGCTGATTCATCAGCTGGATGTTATTGCAGGGGACAGTCTGGGCTTGGTCCTGCCCTCTGCCTTCCACCAGAGCTGGTGCTGAGCCTGCTTTGGCTCACTAAACAAGAAGAAATCCATTCCCTTGTGGCAGCTGAGACACCCACTGCAGCAAACTGCTGCCTTTCAGCAAATACACCTGCAAACATTTGCTGGAGTATTTATAAAAAAGTAGAAAAGTTGAATTGTTACATTTCTCCCCCCTTTTTATTCTCTGCTGGGTAACATCGGCCTTGATAAGCAGTCTCAGTATGTGGACATGTTCTTCTGCAATGTTCTTCTGATCTTCTTGGAGATGTAACAAAGCCATTTTGGGATGTTCACCTTGTGTTTASGAGGGGATTTTGATGTCAGTAAACTGAGCACACATTGCTCACAGTGCCTGGTGGCAGGAACAGCAAACATGAATGCCCCAATTGCATTCTTGCACATAATAAAGTCACTGCTGGAGCTCACTGCAGTGATCATGGTGTTTAACAGGTCCCCTACTGCATTTAACTCACATGGCTGGTTTGTAATGAGTGTAAAGAACCCAGCTCTTTCCTTAAAAAAAATACAGGCACAGAAAACATCCCTTGTTTTTTTGAAATGAGCCATTGCACTTGGGTCTCTTTAACATTCAAAATTGAACATGTCTTCCTCACATATTTTTCTACTAATGAGGAACAAGTTTTTCAACTCTTTCCGTGTGTTGATTAATCATTTGGGGTCTCTGTGTTGCAGGGCACCCTTTGCTTGTGGCTGGTTTCCTACAGCTTGTGTTGACAAGTTCTTGCTGCCTTTGGAGAGGAGCGGTGGGCTTGGGGTGCTGCTCTGGTGCTGAGGTGATGCTTTGTTTGCTCAGAGCTGCCATGTGCTCATGGCGTGTGTTTTTCTGAGCCATGTGTTTTGCTGAGTGTGAGTGATCCAACCCTTGCTGTGTACAAGTACTGGAGTTATTTCTTGTCGAGGGATGGGGAAGATGAGCTGTGTTTTTTGAGTGCTGGCCCATGACTTGAAAAATCTGGGTGATCTTCATGGCTTTGCTGCCAACCTACAGCATGACTTTCAGTGAGTTGGTAAGGGCAAGACGTAGGGTGTTGGTGTTAGGCAACACTCATGGACAGTCTGCAAGGAAGACCCTCTGGTCTGAGAGAGGAGCAGTAGTGGAGTGAGCTGGAGATGGAGTCAGGATCTTCAYAGCAGGCAGTCTCAACAATCTGCAACGTTTTAAGGGACAACTGGAAAGCTGTCTTTTCATGCATGTGCTGGGCACAAGGGTTTGAATTTCATCTGCCTCTCAAACAGGGAAGCARTGAGACAGTGGGAATGGAAGGTACTGAGGTTCTCCTTACATCTGGGRTTGGAAGGTACTGAGGTTCCCCCATACCATGAAGAAAGATGCTTAAAATGAACATTTATCATCTGCCATTGRTTTATCTGTTACAATCTGACTAGGAAAATCCGTATGTTTATGTAAAAACTGAACTTGTGCAAGATGCTGGTCACTGAGCTCTTGCACAGCCTGTGAGTCCTGCTGCCCTCCAGCTGGCCTTGAAGGCASATGATGGGAGTGCTGTGAGTGGTGTGGTATATGTGACAAGGGGGGAGATATAAAAGATAGAAAACAAAGAAATTACGTTTTCGCTTGTAGGACAGTGAGGACTGTTGGGCTCGTCTCCCAGGAGAACTGAGCAAAGTACATATTGACACATCCGTGTTAGAGCCTGAAAAAAAGCCCTGCTGGTGCTCCAGGCACAGCATAGTGAGGGGCTGGGTCGAYGGGACAAGCCTCATTTCTCTGGAGACAGAGATTCATCTCTGTTTGCATGCTCATATTTTACAGGTAATTGGTTTATGGAGAAAAAGTTAGATCGAGGGTTTCAAGCAGGTGTTCTTGCTGTAGAGAAATAGGTTTTACAGGCATTTTCAATGTCATAGATATCAGAATGGCTGAGATTGGCTTTGTAATTAGTGGGATGGGAGTTATTTTGGGAGATTCAAATCCTTTCCTGAAATGTTTTCATCAGCTCAGGAACTTGGGTCAGACCTTCAGCTTCAGTTCATTTAACTGGGGGAAAGTTAGGGAATATTTCATTTCCTAACTCTCCCTATCACTGGGAAAACACTAGAAGCAAGGACAAGGCAATTCAGATTTCTTTTTCCACACATTAGTAGACTTCAAGTGCAACTCTATCTGTTAGCCTGTCCGCTGACTTCCAGTTGCCTTGTACTGATTTGTATGCTAYGTTTTGTAACAACAAAAACATGTTGCAAAGATACCATATTTTGGTGGGTTATGGTGTTGTTCTGCAGCCAGCATAGCTTGGTTGTAGTAATGATGCATCTTTCCTGCAGAGAAGGCAACTTTGATTGTTTTCCCAAGGGAAGAAGTAGTTTTGGTTCAAAGTAGATTTTGTAYGTGAGGTGATTTACACATGATCAAAGTCAGTGGAATCTTAATTAAAATAAACATGTGATTCTCGTAATCAACCCTTTAAAGAGAACATCTGGGGAAAAAATGTCAGGTTTTTGTACATTTAATTATTCACTTGATTTTTCCCTTTTAAATATCTGATGACGTTTCCGCTGTTTGAGGGTAGATAGGACTTTATTGACACAATTAGCAAAACAAATGATTATCACACCTTTTCCTTAACCCTGTGCTATTTGATCTATTTGCTTGCACTTTCATTACTCCTTTGCTTGGTTACACTACACACAATGTTATCACCTTCCTGTGCTGCTGCAGCTAAAACAAAGTGAAAAACCTCTTTTGGCTCTCAGCTGCTCTCTGCTGTTTTCTTTTTACAGATGAGCTAGAAAGCAATGTTGGGCAAAGAGTTATTTGAGTTTCCTTTCAGCACTTGCTGGGCATTATATCCGGGCCTGGCWCTTGCCTGTGTTTATGCGACAGCTTTCATATTTTAAAATAACAAACAAAAAAAACCTCTAACTCTCTATTCCCAGCACAAKTACTAAGATCAGATTAAAAGAACTGAAAAAACAAACAACCCAAACTCCCCAGATTATGATGAGTTTATATATGTCAAGTACTAGAATCTTTATGACTAATTCCCTGGGTGTTTTGAGCCACTTTGCTGGGATGTGTTTATTTTCTCTGAAGGCAGAGGTGGGAAGTGTGGCTCTGCCTGGTTGGAGGTCACAGTGGGTTGTTGTACTCAAGAGCTGAGTGTTTCTGCTGTGTCACTGACGGGTTGGGCCAGTCCTTGATGCACATTCCTGAAGGTGTGATTCTCCTGATGGTGGAAAGACATTTTCCACAATGTCAGGAAGGCTGATGATGCTGCTGACCTGCTGCTTTACAGCCCTTTCCATCCTTCTCCTTCCTGGTAGATAAAATACCTCATTAGGTTTAGAATGTGTGGAAAAAAGGAAAGGGGAGGAAGACTTTGTCCTTTCRCCTGACAAAAAGGAAAAAAGAGAGTTTTGGAAAGATCTGTTGGTCAGGCAAAAACTTTTTCAGTTGCTGGCTTCTTGTCCTCCCCTCACATCACYTAGCACCTATGAGACATCTGGTGTTGGTGGCCCCATGTTGTGCCTGTGATCACTGTGACATTAATTTAAATAAATCAGGCAAATTAAAAAAAAAWYTGAGCAAAAAGAAATCAAAATATTGGAGAAATAAGGAGTTTCCATGGGAATAAACCTTGTCCAACATGGTAAGAGCTGTTGTGTAATAGCCTGTGCCTCTCTTCTCTTTGAAGGTCCCAACCCCATGCGTCCCACTGGTCTGGAATAATGTTTGGAGGAGCCTGGCAGTCTGGTCCCTTTCRTAGCTCCCAAGGATTTTTAGGATCATGGGATGCATGGACATAAGGACCCACAAAACCTTCTGAAGAATGCCAGCTGTGGATAACACATCTGGAAGTTCCTACCATCTTCCTACCCTGTTTTTTCCKGGGTCATCTCTGTGTCATTTGTGGCCCTGAGGATTACAGCATACAGTCATTTACTGGAATACCTCCCTATGCATCTTCTTATGATGGAGCGTTGCTTTACCCAGCTGGAAGATATTCTGTCTTCTCCCAGAGCTTTCCCAGTGCAGCAGCATTCCTGTCCAACAGGTATGTAAATGGTTTGTTATTGACTATCCAGTTTGCTTTCTTGATCTTCAGGAGTTCAATCACGTTTTTTCCTTACTCGCTTCTGCTAAAGATAAGACCTTCCAAAACCCCTGGTGCCATTCTCTGAATGTCCTTTGTCAGGAGAGACACAATCATGTGGAGCAGTGGTGTCAGCTTCTGAAGGTTTTGATAGCCTCATATGTGAGGGAAAGGATGGATCTGATGCYCTTTATTCCTGTACCTGGATCCTCCTGGACTCTTGGGCAGCTGCGTTTGTAACCCACAGCTACCACCAGCCATGTGTGGATCAGCTTATTGGGCTTTGTCTCATTTCAAAAAAGATGACACAAGTGTTAAATCCATTTTTTTCTCCTCTTAATTTAACAGAATTTCTGCTGAAGATTGTAATTTTGAGGATTACTTATCCCATAAAAAAGGAGATGTCTTTAGTGCTAAAATTAGACTGTTCCTATTCCTTATAGACATGTATAACTCAGTAGCAGTAGTAATAACTACCAAATTTGCATTTTTAGAGTWATTTACACTGAGATGTTTTTGTGAAGATGACAAGGTTTTTTTCCATTCTTTCTGCTAGAGAATTGAATCATTGTTTTGGTATCAATTTGCTGTGAAAATCATTCTTTTTGGCACTTGTGCTGSTTTGGTCAAATGCTCAGGTCTGCTGGTGAACGCATCACTCCTTCTACAGGRTTGACAAAAAATCAGCTCTTTGTATCTAACTTTACTTTTACTGTACAAAGAGGAGGCGCTGAAGGAAAAGGGCTGGAAATGCTTTGCTGTACATTTATTCTGCATTCCCCTCAGCATTTGTGAGGCATTAAAAGTTTCATCTTCTTGCTTTGTAAGCACAATTCTGCATCAAAGGAAGGAAATGTGGGGGGYAGGGTTGATAGAGCATGTTCAGTGGGAAACATAATCGATGGCCTCGCTCTTCAATCTGACCGTGACTTGTAGGCCACATGGAGATRGGAGACAAAGATAGGGGATAAAGATGTTCTTTGTTTTATCAATGAGCAAAGCCAAGTGTGTGCTGTGCTTGTAAGAGAGGCTRGAACTAACCGTGGGCATTTGGTGAGCAGCAGCATCCTTCCAGGCTGGTGGGGATGGTAATGGTCAAGCCCTGAGCAGAGTGGTCATGTGTCCAGTGACACTGCCCTGAGGCTCAGCCCTGCAGTGCCAGACCTCTGCCCTTTCATGGGCTTTGTCCTCTGCTGCAGAGGCATCCCCTGGAATCAGCTCTTCACTTGCAGATGGGAGTTTTCCTTTCTTAAACTGAATTAACAACCTTCCTATCACTGAAATCCCTGATGTTTTATTAACTAGTTCCTGACAACTTCTAAAGCATAAGAAAGACTGGATCACTTGCAGTTGTTCTTTTTATCTACAATTAAAACAAACACCATTGATATTCAAAGTCCTTTTTTTTTTTTTTTTTGTGGTCAGCTGTTTGATAAAGACATTGCAAACCACATCTCCCCTTGTTCCTGTAAGATGTGAAAAGGTCCTTTGTCAGCAGCACATTGCTGTGGAATGAGCTTTATCTTTTTTGAGTAACTAGGGGCAAATGGGCCATCAGCTGCTCTGCTCCAGTATTGCCAGGCCCTTTGGTGCTCCTGGAGGTGCTGTTTGGAGACAGAACAAAACCTGYCTGTGACCTGGGTAACCCCGAGCAGCTCCAGACCTCTGCATTTTGGGGTCTGCACCTGCACCAAGCAAAGAGAAAAGCCATGGTAGATGTACCCTACATTTTGTGTGCTGCGTTGCCCCTTGTGACACTCAGTCTTGCAGGCACCTGGCACACCTGGGCTACCTGGGGGTGCCTCAGGAATTAGAGCTTGGCCGGGAATGATGTTTCAGTTGCAAATGTACTGCTGTCCTTTACAGGGAGGAAGAAACATCTCAGGTTTTGTTCAGAGCAGGTCTCACGCTGCATGGATGTGGGTTAGCTTCTCAGCGTGAGCATCCAAATACATCCCCAGGCAGATACATCCCCCTCCTGCTGATTAGACATGAACCCCATCAGCACTCAAAATATTTGCTGGTAAAATAGCAAAGGCTTGCTTTCAGTCAGATTGCAGATCCTTGGGTCAAAATGTCCTTTAAGGGGTTGATCTGTGCACATATGCATGTTATTAATACTAATATTAATAATAATAATAAAATACAGAACGCTTCTATTTGGCTGCCTGTGAGGGTTATGTATGTGTGTTTCAAAAGCACATAACTGATTATAAAAATCATTGATGGACTAACTCGGTATTAAGGATGGTTGAATGACAGTGAAAAGCAGCCCTGGCACATTGCAGGGATGTTCTTGTCATGACTAACTCCTCTCACTCTCATCCCAGAGGAATTTTTCAGTGCCCAGCACAGACCAGCACTGAAATTGCAGGTTTGCAGAAGTTTTTAAATCTCTCCCCAGCTGGCAACAAATTAAGGAATTRCAAGTATTTATTGGTTTAAGGATAAAATAGAACCTCAAAGCTATAAAAAAAAAATTTGACAATGAGGCTTTTTTAAGGGAGTCTTACTTTCTTTATGGTTTTGTAAGTCGAATGTGTCAAAGCCTGACAGAGGAAGAGGTTTTAATCTACAGGTGCTGTCTCTTGCTTGATGGTTTCCTGCTTCTAAAATTACTTCCAGGTTTTTTGGAATTGGGGCTGAAGCTAGTTTCAGCTTTCAGTTTGTGGGCAACCTCGCTTACCACTTTGGCAGGCTGGATTTGCAAGGGTTGGGGGCAGCAAATGCTAGTGCTTTTAAAGATCCTGGTTTTGGCTGCCAAAAGCCCATTTGCCACTTTTAAAATATTTACAGCTGAATCTTTGGATTCACGTCTTCCTCTGCTTGGGGAAAGTGCTGAAGTGGCCAATGATGAAATTTTGCTTTGATCTTTTTTCCCCTGTCCTGCATGGGGAGTTTGGAGGGGAGCGTGCCCAGGTGAAGGATGTTGATCCACCTGCACAGATTGACACATCCTGCACAGATTGACACATCCTGCACAGATTGACTTTTGCTCATCGTGCAGCCCTGAGAGCCAGAACGAGCAAAGCAAAATTGTGGTTGATTTCAGTCCTTAGTTTATGCTACAGCCTTCAACCCCTTTTGCAGCGTGCATTTTCTCTCATAAAGGCTGTCTCTCTCTTGGGGCATTTACTAATGAATGCCATTTGTGCCCAAACTTTGTGCTCTTACAGCAGAGCGAGTATGCATTAGGCCATATTTCTGTTAATTTATATATTTTTAAGTGTTTGGAATAATCCTGCTAGCATGTSTTGAATGATTGTCTATTGATTGCTTTAAGACCTTTCTTGGAATTTTACATTAACCAAAGCATCACAGTCATTATTTTCAGAATAAAAATCTTTCTTTGCATGTGATCTTTGCTTTTCTATGAGCGCCTGCATCTGCAGGTGCAGACTCACTRAGCTTACAGTAAATACTGAATTATCTGCTTACTGTGCTCTTCGTATTGCAAAGGAGCAGTGACCTATCACAAGACATATTGTTAATGCCAGCATGAAAGCGAGAGGTATCTGCTCTGCTTCTGAATCCTCTGCATTGCTTTGAGGGGTTCTGTGCAGAACTGAAGGTGTCGACAGGCTGTTTTCTTGTGCTCCCATCTGCTGAGCAGTGTTATGTGGATTAGTATTGAGGAGCTCTTAGTGAAATTTGTCTCATGCCACGAAAATGTAAAGCCTCCAAAGCTGGCTGGCATCCCAGGGCTGTGAGAGGCCCTTGGAGGGGCTCTTGGTAAAGGTGGCAGGATTTGCACYGTCCCAAAGCCGTGAACAGGACATGATCTGAAGAGTTTCTGATTAAGATTTAATCATCTCCAAACTGGTCTGATTGCTTACATGGGGCAGCAGACAAAAAATGCCGAGCAGGAACGGCTGCCAGGGGGTCAGTCTGCCACCATGGGAGGACATCTCCCTAATCTTCTTGTCCTGCAGTGTGCAGCCCAGTTCAGAAACACAGAATGCCATTTTGGGCAATATTTTATTCTCAGGGTGTTTCCTGAGCTGGAATCAAACCTCTCACCTGGTCTCCTAGTTTTTCCCTGGCACTGTTTTGAGTTTCCTGTGGTTTTGCTGGCTTGGCTTTTGCAAGGTACTGTCACTGTGCTACCTCCTCTTTACCTTTGCAGTGTCAAAGCCAGGAGGTCAGATTGGAGACCTGAGGCTGCAGCAGAAAAAGGGGACCTTGAGTGTGTGCAACAGAAGAAAAGTACATATATTTACAAAGGTTATTGTAAACAAGTTGGGGTATGAGGCACAGCTGCATTCCAGCCCTGGTGCCTCTGGAAGGTGGATCTCTTACTGTCCAGATAAGAAGTGTATCTTCAGCCCAGGCTCAGCCCCTCGGTGTGCCTGGCTGGAGCATTCCCTGGGGTGCTGAGTGATGCTGGGAACCTTGCACTGCCCTGGTTTGGCCCCTCCACAGCTTGGATGTGCCCTCCTGCCACTGCCAGCATGACTGTGGCACATGKATGTGGAATTGCCATCACCCTCCCCCCAGCACCATTTCTTGGCTTTCATTAAGCTTTTTGCAAAGAGCATCTCTTTCTGGTGGCCCCTGTGCTGTTTTGTCAGGGGTGTCATTGCATCACCATCAGCTGGTTTTCATTTGACCTTTGCCCTGCTTAAAAATTAAATACTGAGGTACTAGGAAGAGAAGCAATCTCCCAGATAAGCACTTATGCCCTGCTTTTCTGTAATTCATGGGGGAGCTRGCTTACCCTGCCTGTGTATGACTAAGGAGGAAATTCTTTTTTGGTTAGGATAATGCTGACAGTTCACTGGAATTTTTTTTATCATGGGTTTATCACTTCCTCCCTATGAATTCCTGACTCTTATGTGCAGGGCAGGAAAAAAAATAGTGGTGACCACAAGTTATGGTATTTGCCTTCTGTGGAAAAGATGCTGAACAGCTAAATGATGCTGTCAGGTCTGCCATGGTTTCCATGGAGGATTTGCTTCATA